GGAACAGGCAAATTGAAGATCTTCCCGATGATACAGAAGAAGAAGGTGATGATGAGTTTGCTGAAACCGATGATGACGATTTGGCGGAAGAAGACGGTGATGGTGATGAAGTAATAGAGGAAGATGAATCTGATTGAGTTTCATGCATTGTATTTAGTGAATGTTTGTTATTATGTAATTTGTAACTTTGTTTGTTTGAATTTTTTGAAAACTCTAAAATTCGATTTTACAACGGTTTTAGGACGGTTTTTCCTAAACCCTAAACCTTAAGTCTAGGTTTTAAGCCCTGAATGAATAGGGTTTCAACATTACGACGTCTTTACGATGAACCATCGTAATATCGTCGTAAAGTTACGACGGTTTTATGACGAGTACACTATTTCGTCGTAAAATTGTCGTAATGTTGAAATCCAAGAATTTGAATCTTTTATATCTTATTGGTTGTAAGGTATTTCACAAATGTTTTTGATTGGTTATCTTATTTTATATGAAATGCTATCAATCTGATCAAAATCAAAAATTTGAAAAAAAACATACATTTTTACAAGTTCATGCATGTTTTCGTAAATGTTAAGTGAAAGGTTATATATTAGATTACGGAATTTCAATTTTTACTATCTCATGTCATAAATTCATCATACATGCAAAGTTGTAAACCTTTTATTATATGTTAGGATACAATAACCTTTGCATTGTTCTTTATGTAATATCCCATTTATAAGATTTATGGTTTACTCACTTTTTTAAAAAACATCGTAAAACCGTCGTAATATAATCGTAAATTTAAGACGACTAAACCCAAAACCGTCGTAAAACCGTTGTAACGTTTGCACCGGATAGGCTCCTGATCCGAGGTACGAGGTTTTAAATGTTTCGACGTTACGACGATTTTACGACAGTTTGGGTATAATCGTCGTAAAACCGTCGTAACGGTCAAATGCTCCCATCACGACACGTGTCATGTCATACAGTGGACCGACTGTTATACAACCAAATCGTCGTAAAACCGTCGTAAAGTTACAACGATTTTACGACGATCACAAAATCTATATAAGGGACGCGAGTTTTTCCCCTTCTTCGCTCATTCCTCTCTTCCCCCTCTCTCTCTATAAATCTCTTTCTCTCTCTAAAAAACTAACCCTCTCCCTCTCTCCCTACTCTCCCTACTCTCCCAGCCAATTAATTGTAAGTATTTTTTTTAATTAATTTCATTACATATTATTTTAGATTTAGGTTTGGAATTTAGATTTAGGTTCGGAATTTAGATTTAGGTTTCGTAATTTAGATAGGCCCGGATTTTGTAAATTTAAATAAATATTTGAAAAATTAGTAACAAATTTTTTAAAATTTTGTAGATTCTGTCGATATGGCTCCTCGGGCTAAGAGATTTCACTACCGACAGCTCGTCGATTCTGACGGTACTGCCTCGTCTACCTCGGCGACAGGATTAGCCATCCCAGAGTCCTCGGGAACACAACGGACGGTTTCCCAACCGGTCGTTGTTCCGCAGCCGGCACCGCCTCCACCACCACCAGCCGAACCAGCGGCTCCCGCACAGGCCGATCCTGAGGCTGATCCGATCCCGCCTGTACCGTATGCCCAGTTTACGGTACAGGATCTTCTGGCGCAACCCGGTCGTGAGACCATGAACAAATTCGACCCGAATCGAGTCCCGGGCACCTTTTGGTACGTAATTTTTTTCCTACAATATTTTTAAATTAATTAATATTTATTCTTATATATTTGATATTAATTTACTTTTTCTCTTTCTATTTGATTAGGTTTACGACCGACAATGCAGTCGGTCGTAACGTTGCGGATATCATCAAGGGGTTTTTTGTACAACTCCATACCAGCTGGAAGAAGCTGGATCATGCCACACTTGACACTTGGTTCAAGTGTTTTGCGGTAAGTGATTTACCATTTCGTTTAATTTTAATTTTAAATTTTAACTTTTTACAATAATTACTAACTTCTTTTTTTTTCCTAGCAAAACTGGCATTGGGAAAACATCCGCACACGGATGTGTGGAGACGGCCTTAAAGGAGAATGTCAAATTCCGCCTTAACAACACTGTTTCCGACTGGAAACGGAAGTGGGAGGTTGACGGCAACAAGGCCAAGCCGGCGCCTATGGCCAATACCGTCTGGCGGGGCCTTGTCCAGTACTGGTTGGATCCGCACAATCAGATTACGGCCGCCAAGTGTTCCAGATCTATGTAAGTAGTTAATTTCAATAATATTTACATTATTTTTTTTCTTATAATAGATTCTAATGAAAATATTTTTCAAGAACGCTACTGACGATGCAGAAACTCGGAAGAACGTCCCGCACACTTCCGGCTAGATTACTTTTGCCGGAAGACGGCTTCTGATGGTAAGTAAATTAAAATTTTTTTTTTTTGTTTTCAAATAATTAACTCTTATTTCTCGATACTAATTAATTTTTTTTATTTTGATTTTGTAGGTCGAAGATAACGGAAGAGAACTTCCTCCGATGACGAAGGTTTTCGCCGAGATGCATAAAAAGCGTAACGGCGAATTCACGGATCCTCGGGCGGAGGAGATCTACAACGCCGACTGTGCGGCGATCGAGGAGCGACAGACGCTAGCAGGCGCGTCAAACGTCTCCCGGAGGTAGCTCGGTCCAATCGATCCTGGCGCTGACGGTGGCGGAGATGGACCAGATCTTCGAAGAGGTAAATTTAATTACTATATTTAATTAATTAATGTAACTTTAGTTTTAAATTGAATTCTAACCATAATGTTTTAAAATGTTTATAGGTTGTCCCAAAGAAAAAAGGGCGGGTATTAGGGATGGGGTCCATCCGTGATACCCCGAGAGCTACGGCGTCTAGTCACGTCCGGGTCCCGGATCCGGTTGTCCGCCACGAGATTGATTAGATGCGGACTCGTTACAAGACGAAGATCGACCAGCTCTACGGTCTCTTCGAGATCATGGGAGCCGACAACCCGGTGCTCATGGCGCAGTTGGACAAGTTGCGGGCTGATGGGGTTGTCGGTTCGTCTGCCGCCGGGTCATCCACTATGACGCAACTGCCGGTGCAGACAGACGAGGAGATGTTCCGATCTCTCGGGGTTGAACCTCGTAGAGCCGGAGATCAGGCGCCGGCGGAAGCATCAAACCGAATACCCGACAAGGAACACGTCCACGACGATGGGGAGGAGGCCGATGACGGGATCGACGATTTAGATTTAGGTTTAGATTTAGAGCTGTAGGGTTTTTATGTAAATTACAATTAGTTTTAATTTCAAATTTTAATAAATTTTAAATTGTAAATTATTTTTTTAATTTAAATTTTAATTCGAATTAATTTTTTTTTTAATTTTCAATTATATTAAACGTCGTATAATCGTCGTAATAGCTTTATTAAAACCGTCGTACATTCGTCGTAAATATTACGACGAATTTACGACTAAAATGTACGACGACAAATACGACGATTATACGTCCGTGCTTTACGACGATTTTACGACAAAATGATTAAATACTTTACGATTGATTTATGACGATTTATGCGTCGTACATTTTACGACGATTTTATGTCGACCATTAACGACCATTTAACGACGGCCCAGGCGAAGACCAAGTCGACGCAATTCGATGTAAACTCGTCGTAAACTGTACGACGCATTTACGACGATTTTGTTTCCCTCGATGTTACGACGAAACGAAACCGTCGTATATTATACGTTGTACGACGATTTGTCTATTACGACGATGACTTTACGACGTTTTCGAAATCTTCGATAATTCGTCGTAATAACCCTATTACGACGAAATAACGACCATTTCGGCCATTGTAAAATGATGTTTTTCTTGTAGTGAACGTTTAATTGTTGATGTATATAATGCTGTTGATGTAATAATTCTTATAATTTGTAATAGAATAATAAATTATTATTAAAAAAACAACGTTTAATTTGATCTAAAATCTTCCAAAAAACAGTGAGACTATATATGGTAATTATATAAAGTTGAGTGAGTACGGGTATAAATTACCCCAAAAATTAATGTATTTTTTAGTACTCATTTTGAAATATTGCTATTTAATTCAATCGAAATAGTAATTAGTGGTTGAACTACAGTTTATGTGGAGGTATTATGTAGTTCTCCTTGAATTGCCATACAGATAGCAGAGAAGGTTTCGATAACTTATTCGTTTGTGCAATCACTTTTAGTCTGTTAATCATGAATATAAAAATTAAGGCAATTAGTAATTAAAAAAGTAATGAATGATGTAGTTAGTAGTTAGAAAAGGTAAAGGCGTTATCAGGTGATATTCCCGCTTCCAAAGAAGATTTACGTAAAATTCCAATCCCCAAGCCCTTTCCCTATTTCCCAGGTTTGCTTAATCTTTTCCTTTAATTTGTTTTTTTATCCCCTAGGATTTTTTATTTTATTTTCTTGATAGCAAAGAAAACGCAATTATTATGAAAGGAAAATAAAGAAAAAATAGGGAGAAAGTGTAAAAATATATTCAAGTGAACTAGTTTTAGTTTTATGTTACAACCAAAATGATTAAAAAATAGTTTCCGTACATATTTGCGCGTGCAACTTCAATGAAAAAATAAACAATTGAGAGGTGTTGGAGATTCACCACTACCAAGTATCAATTACAAACTCCCCTAAATGGTTTTATTTTAAAATTACAGTTTCAGAACCTTTCTTCTCCAAAACTTCCACAAAAAAAAAAAAGATATCAGTGTAGTGTAAGTTAACACCCTCAAGATGCCTGGCCGGCCCATACAAAATTCCAGAATCTACCCTTTAGTTTTTATGCATTACACACAAGTAACAACAACAATCGTTTCTTTATCAAGTTTTGATTTATTAGTTTACCTTTTCAATTTATTCGATTCGATTTCTTTAGTGTTAGATCGAGCACTTTTCTATGAAGGATGTTTCAAAAAACCTCAGATTGTATTCAATTTACGACTCGTTTAAATAAACTTAAAAGTCATTTTTGGACAAGTTTCTCAACATTAAGTTCGGCCTGCTAAACCGATTCCAAACTGGACGGCTATCTAGCATTTCAAATCAGAGCTAGAATTCTTTCCTCTAAACGTATAAACCCAGAATTGTTCGGTTTAGAATGGTTATCTCTTAAACCAAACTACATTGTGTCCAACAAATTCTGATTTAGTAGGGGAGGATCTACATATCTGAAACAGACCACAAGTACGCTTCTCTTTCCGTTGCTTTCTTCTCGTTAGTCCTTTTTAACATGTCCCTCTCGTGTCCTGAACCAATCACCCCGAAAACAGATCAGACAAATAACCTTCATAATGAATTTTTTTTTTTTGGTAAAGCAAAACACATGAACCAGAATAACTTACCGTTACTACGGTCAACTCCATCCCAGTGTCGACCGGGTTTAATCCCATATCGGTTAAACGCAGGTTCCAGTCCCCTTGTTATCCAACTGTGCTTGGGGATAGTTTGAGGTATGACAAATCCAGATTCTTTCATCTTCTCATCGTCACCTAGATCCACAAGAGATGTCTCGTGCTGCTTTTTCTGCGATATTAAAAAACCAGGCAGTATCGTTAGTATAATGCTTTGTATTCCAAAACGGTCTTTGGTTATTTATACGTTTGTAGTAAGCAGACGTATGTTCAATACCTTGACCAAATGAGCCATTGGATCTCCCCACCTAACTCTTTCCTTCATCATTTGATCAAGCTCTGGATCATCCCTGAAAAAGCAGAGATAAAACTTTTTAAATAACAACCAAGTCCATAATAGCTCAAGCTCATGAAGAAGAAACCGATATAGTACCTGGTCCGAGCAAATGGCTTCTCCTTCTCAAGCTCAAGTTCCTGTATTCTAGCTTCAGCTTCACGCTTCTGAGCTAAACCTTTGCCCCATTCCAGTTTTATCTCCTACAAGAATTTGTCAATTACATTAAGGATTTGTCAATTACATTGGTAACTGTATTTTTTTTTCAATACACAAGACTCGCAATTCATATTCTGTGGAGCATTAGGGTTAACCAGCAAACAGTACGGCAGTACCTTTGGCTTTTCCACCACTTTCTTTTGCTTCGATTGAAGATATTCCTCCTTTGTTATACGCTTCCCTGCAATATAAATAAATAAGCATCTGGGAATGAGTCATGTGATTATGCATTCTCACTTCAACTTATAATGACTAAGGACCTATAGCGCTCACCTGTGATCTTGTCACGGAACACTGCTTCTGCATTCTGACCAGTTAGCTCGGAATCCATATTTTTAAACCTGCAGAAGAGTTTTAAGTTGTCAGAACGATAGCAGCTTAATTAGTGCAGTAGAGAATCTTGAGTTATCGTGAGACGAGCTTGCTCTCGTAATAGGAACCGTTGTTTACGTTAGAAAGAGAGAAAGAGATTTAGCTAAGCTTCCTTTTAACCCTAGTATATCTTAGAGATTGAGGTTAATTCTTGGAGGTTCCTTACTTATTGATCATAAGAGACCCTAATATAGGTTAAGGTACAATCAGTCCTAAACCTAAACCGAAAAGCAAGATAAAGTACCAGGGGAATAGTAGTAGTATACATGCAACTACACGGAAATAGGAAGCTACTCTTGCCCAACGCTACAGTAAGTATGAAACAAACCTGATACCTATAACTAAAACGTAGTATCACAGTTTTATAAAGTTTAGTAAGCTTCCTAATTATTACCTCAATTGTTCATCCGCCTTCTTCTTTCGATATTCACTTCCAATGTCCTTGCCACTAATTAATCCGGTCTTCCGTTGCTCCTTGCTCGTCTGATGAGGTGGTGATTCTCTGCGTGGTCTCCTTGGGGGAGAGCTATCAAAATTGGAACTCCTGGACACATTATCAGAAGAACGTCGAGAATCCACGGTTTTCCTTTGAGGCGACAGGTCTGAGTCACGAGATCCCTTCACACTTCTGCGGGGTGGAGACAAATCAGAATTCGAGCCAAAAGATTTTGACGGCTTCCTACCCGGTTCAGGTGATGGAGAATGATATCGTCTTCTTCGTGGAGGAGAAAGATCATTGCTCTCCCTCTTTACATCTAAGACAGGTGAACCACGTATATCCCTTTTCCTGCGAGGCGGAGATAAATCACCATCCAACTCAATGGAATCTGAACGCTTTCTACTTGACTCAGGCGATGGAGGATGAACATGTCTCCTCCGAGGAGGAGATAGATCTTCACTCAGATTTTTGGGGACTTTATCTTCAGGTTCTGGTGAAGGCGAATCATTCCTGGCTTTTCTTTTACGTGGTGGTGTCAAATCAGAATCCGAAGTAACAGGCTTGGCATGTTTTCTGTTAGGTTCAGGTGAAGGTGTATAGTGACGTTTTCTCCGACGAGGTGGAGACATATCTGTTTCAACTCTATCAGAAACCGAGCGTCTATGCCCAGGCTCAGGAGATGGCGAGTCATTACGTGTCCTATGTCTACGTGGAGGAGAAATATCAGAATTTGGGTCCTCACGGTTTGGAGGTAAGGTCACCCACCCACTCCCATCCTCAGCAATGGCATTTTGAGCACGCCTTGCCTTAATTTCCTCCAACCTCCTCATTCTCTTAACTTCAATGTCCTCATCAACCATAGGCCTTTCCTCTTGAAAAAATAAAAAATAAAAAAATCTGTCAGTGTCAACTCTTATTAGATCAGAGAAATGGAGTATTACAGATGCAATTAGAAATGGTCAAACCAATTACCTGCTGAATCATCTTCGTTTTTTTCCTCTTCAGGATCAACCTGCTTTTGCCAAACTGGATCTTCATCCACAACTAAAACACCTTTTGCTTCAGGTTTGGATGGCTTCTTCTTCTTCTTCTTTTTCTTCTCTATAGCAACATCACTACTTTCATACTTTTTCAAGTAATCTTTCATAGACTTGAATCCTGTTCCTGGAGCAGCCATCTTCGAGAAATCGGAGCCTAACTACCAATAGATAAACATGGAAACCCAGTTAAACATGACATCTAGCATACCAGGAACATAATGAACAAAAATTAGGGCATAAAAGATACATAAAGATATATTCCATTCAGAAACCAGAGACTCAAGCAGAAATTGGAAAGTTGACAGAAGAATGGCAATGCAACACTTCATCATCTTCAACAAAAACCATTATATATAGCATTCAAAACCAAAATCAATTACCGAGCAGAAACGAGCTCATGAATCCAAACCGAAATCGACAAATAGTTGCTGCACTGGAATAAGCATCAATCAAGCGAAACGCATGAAACTGAATCGAGAACAACAAACAGAACTCTTAATTTTATCGTCATCAAATCGCAAATCCACAAATCGAGAAGCTAAACCGTAGCACTCTACGGAAGCAATTCCAAAAACCGAGAAAGAGACACGAGGACACATACATAGAATCAGGAAATTGACGCCGGAGATGACCGGAATTAGATCAGAACCCCTACGTGAAAGCTCGAAGATTTTCTAGGGTTTTCGATCCCAGGATTCCCTGGAGACGAAGGGGGACTAACTATGAATTATGGCTGCATTGAAATTAAATCAGAAAATATGGATTTATCTGTAATTTCCGATATGACGAGCTTAACAGGGACATTTTGGTCTATTAAAAATAATTGCTGGGTTCGGTTCGTCTTTAAAAAGCCTCTCACTGTCACTGTGTCTAATCATATGATTGAGAACAATTAGGGTTTTTCTTCTTCCTTCACTCTTTTTTAAAATCCGCCGCCACTTTCGTCCCCTCTCTATAATCGTCGCGTTAATGGCGGTATCGTACAATGCATTAGCACAGTCGTTACAAGGGATAAGCAGCTGCTTCATCCCCAAAACCTATTGCGTCAGAGATACTAAGCAGAGAAGCAGATCCAATGTCGTATTCGCGTCTAATGATAAGAACATTGCTCTTCAGGCTAAGGTAAACAACAAGTGAATCTCTCTTTCTCTGTATTGAAAAAGTATTTAGCTTTAATTATGTCTAAGAACGATTTAGAAAGCTTGAGATGATTGCTGCTGTAACTTAGAGCTCAGGATGAGTAGATATTGAACCAGACATTGTCAGGTGTCTACTCTTTGAAGTATGAGTAGTTACTGTTACATGTCGGGTAAAGAAAAGAGAGAGAAGGAAAGTCTTTTTTTGATGGTTTCCATCTTTAGGGTCTGGATTTCTCTTTCAAGGTGCTCATCGTTTGCTTGGTCGTCTGAATTTTCGTGATGGCTTGAGCTACATCTGTTCATCACATTTGATATGATAGGAAATACTTTGTCTTGTGCTCTCAATTTACTGCAACGCTAGTTGATTTGATTAACTACATTGAGCTATTTCAACGGAAGCATGTTGTTATTCATAGAGTGATACCTTCTGAAGTAACTTGTGTTGTTGTTACATGTAAGTGTTTGTTTTTCATACATCATGTGAACTTAGAATTTAACCAGAGATGGTCAGGTTCCTACCCTTTGACTCTTGGGTTTGGACTGTTACATCTCTGGTAAAGAAAAGGGAGAGGAGGAAATGCTTTTTGATGGTTTCCATTTTTAAGTATGGATTTCTCTCTTAAGGTGCTCATCGTTTGCTTGGTCATCTGAATTCCGTGATGACTTGAGCTACATCTGTTCATCACATTTGATTTCGTTTTCAAGGAAACGTTTGTGTCTTAGCCTAATTTGATTACTACACTGAACTTCTTGGATGCCTTCTGAAGTAATTTATGCCTAGTTTGTTACTACAATTGATCATGTGTTGTTATTTGCTAGTATATATCTTTTATTACATTCTTACGATCGAGATCTGAACAGAGATGGTCAGGTTCCTACCCTTTGACAAGTGGGTTGGAACTGTTACATCTCTGGTAAAGAAAATAGATAGAAGGAAAGCTTTTTGATGGTTTCCATCTTTTGGTCTGGAATTCTATCTGAAGGTGTTCATCGTTTGCTTGGTCATCTAAATCTGTGATGACATGGGCTACATCTGTCCCCCACAATTGAATATATCCACTGAGACATATCTCGTTTACTCCCATATCCAGTCTAATAATGCATTTCCTGTTTAAACTATTAAGAATGGCTTATGTTGTTAGTTTTGCAATTGTGATCTCTAAGCTTCCGTCTCAATAAGCCTTCTTTACGCTGCTATTGTGTTCCCCCTGATACTTTATCTTGCTCTCTATTTGTTTTCTTGGGTTAGGTAGATAACTTGTTGGACCGTATAAAATGGGATGACAAAGGATTAGCTGTGGCAATAGCACAAAACGTGGACACTGGAGCAATACTAATGCAAGGCTTTATTAACAGGGAGGCTCTCTCCACGACCATCACTTCTAGAAAAGCTACATTCTTCAGTCGATCAAGATCGACCTTATGGACTAAGGGAGAGACATCCAATAACTACATCAATATCCGTGATGTTTATCTTGATTGCGATCGTGACTCGGTACGTTTTGTCCTGACCACAGATGTGAGGATTAATACATTGTTGTTATTCTTCACAAACTCATTTTTGTTTGTGATTTTTTTTCAGATCATTTACCTTGGGACACCAGATGGGCCTACTTGTCATACAGGGGCAGAGACATGCTACTACACATCGGTTTTTGATCAGTTAAACGATGATGAGGTTTGCTTCTGTTGAATTCGTTTTTGCCTTTTCCTGTGACTTGATTAATTGAAATCTGAAGAAAATCAACACAGGCTTCAGGAAACAAGCTTGCATTAACAACACTATACTCGTTAGAATCAATCATTTCCAAGCGGAAAGAGGAATCAACAGTTCCTCAAGAAGGTAAACCGTCATGGACTCGACGGTTATTGACTGATGACGCTCTGCTTTGCTCAAAGATCAGGTATACATTTGTCGGTTCTCTGCAATCAAATGTTCACTGACCGTCGAGCTAGATCCTTGTGGTGCTTATTGGGTGTTTTGTGTTTTCAGGGAAGAAGCGGACGAGTTATGCAGAACACTGGAGGAGAAGGAGGAAGTATCAAGAACAGCATCGGAGATGGCGGATGTGTTGTACCATTCGATGGTACTTCTGTCTAAAAGGGATGTGAAGGTGGAAGATGTTCTTGAGGTTCTTAGGAAACGCTTCTCTCAATCTGGAATCGAGGAGAAGCAAAACCGCACAAAGTGACCGCATTTAACTGTTTGTATTGCAAAAAAAAATCTTGAAGTTAATATTGTTCCACTTTTTTGTTCATCATGGAACTTGTGTACTGTATAATTAAGTTATTCTCAATGATAGATGAAATAAATTAATCCTTTTTCGATATTTAACTCATATCATCTTAAATGAATTGTTTTTGATTAACCATCTTGAAGTTTTCATTATCTTATACTGCATTAGTGCATTTAACCAATCTCTTCACAACCTTTTGTTATATTAAAACAGTTTCATAGTTGGAGATTTTTCTGTTCTCTTTACCTTTTTGCTCACTATTGAAGAGTCATACTCTCAAGTCTTAACATCTTCTTTCTCCTTCCCTGTTTCTGAAATGTTTTCTATTTTCTTAAAAAAAAAAAGTTGAACTAGCGTAGACGATATTAATATCTCTATTAATATATATTTAATATAATTAAAAAAATATAATATGAAATTATGAATCTATACCGGGAATACCCGAGAAAGTAAAACAGAACCAAAAAATTAAAGAGAAGAAATTGTTGTTTATAGCTATATATCGTGGATTTCATAGAACCAGATCTCTTTTGTCTCTGTAAACACCCCCAAAGAGTACACCATAGGAGATGAGAAGCACTATGATTATCCATATCATCGGTTTAACATCGGTACAGTGCCTTCTAATCAAGAGGTTTGGTTAGAAGAAAACCAGAGCTTTTTCTGGCAGACCAGAATCTTCTCGCTTTCAACGGCATACTCTGTCTCTTCTCTCCGGCAACTCCACCTCATCCCCTTCGCCAACGTCGTGATTGCGTCCATGAAATAACTCGATTCTCGGATTATAACATATCCACTCGGACGCAAGATCCTGTCCATCTCCAGCAGAACATACTTCATCTCACACCTATAATTCACATTACCATCATAAACACATTGTCCAAAATATTTTGTTTTATCATACATCAAACAAGATTCTATGGTTAAGAGTACAATACCTCTGGCTCTCAAGGGTAAAAAGACTGTCTAGGTGAAGAAGATCATAAGTTCTTGGATATGTCGAGAAAGCTTCACACCTGCAAATTTCTTTGTCGTTAACATATCACTCATTACCACATAATGAAAAAACAGAGTGCTTTTGAAAAAAACAGAGTGCTTCTTGAAAAAAGATTTCATTTTTTACCAGTCGTGGTACGTCCCGATGAGACCACGATCAAAGACAACAGGAAGCGTGTTTGCAACGTAAGACGAGACAACGTTCATGACCCAAACAGGATCCTTGACGAGAGAAGCAGCCAAACCACCATAAACCGTGTTCATATCCATAACGTTCCTTATCTTATCCGTGCCAAGAGCAGGCAAGACTTTCTTGTAATGCTTAACTCTGTTCTTCCACTTCCCATCATCGTGTTTCAAACCGCTCGCGCTGCCTCCGTGAACGTCAGAGATTCTCTCCGGAGCCACGTTTAGCCTCTCTGGCCATTTCGGGATCGACCCGAGACCGGAGTTCTTGACTTTAACCGTAGGTGCGACCACGCAGGGACGGAGAGGAGTGTACCAAGCCGAGTCTGGCTCTATGCTGTCGTCACATTTGGGAGGGTTAGCTTCCATGTTCTTTGCGATTTTGTCGTAGCAAGATTTGTCTGAGAGTTTCTGCCACACGGCTATGTCGTCTTTTTGTGCGTACTTCTTGAAGCACATGGAGGTTAGAAGTGACTGAAGCTTGTCGTAGTCGGATTTCTGTTCTTCCATTGTCGTGTTCCATCCTCGCCACCGTCTCTTGTAGTTCACCGGTGGACCAGAAAGTACCCAGAAACCTCCTGGTCGGACTATACGGTGAATCTCAAGCAAATAGATTCCACCTGCAAGATCCAACACACACATTCTAATGATTCTTCTTAGCTCCAAAATGTTTGAGATTATACACACATTCTAATGATTCTTCTTAGCTCCGAAATGTTTGAGATTATACACACATTCTAATGATTCTTCTTAGCTCCAAAATGTTTGAGATTATATGAAGAATAATACACCAATCACATGATTTATACACATTTGGTAGATATCATTGTAGAAGTGTCAATTCTTTTTCTTCTAACCGGTTTCAGTTCGGTTTTTGGTTTAGGCAATGAATGGTAGTTTAAACCATTTTCTCAAAATGAAATTTTTGTAACCAAGAAGATGGATGGTTACCAAATTCTGTCCAGGGAATAAGACATCTTGAGCAGTGAGCCATGTCAAAAGCATTTGAAGGGAAAGGGAGACGTTGTGTAGAGATAATCCCAAGAATCGCAGGGATTCCACGTTCAAGAGCAAACTGAACCTGAGCTTCATGGTTATCTCTTGGAGCAAGAGAGAGTGATAGAATCCCACGGTCCAAAAGATCGCCTCCCCAGCTAGCAACCTACAAAAAAGAAACTCATAAATACACAACACGAAACCGGTTTAGAGAGAATTTGAAAAAGAAGAGACTAAACTAACCCCACAGCCAGTATCAATGGCGGTCCTGACTGTTCCATCTTTCATTCCTGGAATCAGATCTTGCATCTGATCAACGTAGTGACTAACTCCACGAGGAAACATCGTACCACCACCAGGGAAATGGAACTTGTCACCTTCTTTCTTAAGCCAATGCTGGTTTGATTTTTGCTTGTTGATCCAATCATAAGGCACGTTCTTGTACCAACACTGGTCTCTGCTCTTAGGCCATCTTATAGGCGGTTTGTATCCATCTGGTGGTGGAATTAAACACTCGTTCTTTTCGTAAACCGGTGGACAATGACGCTCCAAGAAACTTAGACGATGGACACCGTACCTCTTCCATCTCTGAGACACAAACACAACAATAGTTTAAATCTATGAAACTACAAGTGAAAATTACAAAGTGAGAGTAGGATTCTTTACCTTTGGATCGGTACACGGAGTGTAATCTTGGAACCCTGATCCACATTCAGGGAATGAGACGGATTTTACTTGCATAGGTGATACCGTAAGTTCCTTAGGGGAAGCTACAGCCTTTGTGGTGGTACTTGTGACATCTTTGGCTTCGATCTTGTCTCTCTCAGAGCAAAATATACCACCGAGATAAAAGGAGAAACCACATAATCCGATGAACAGGACGGTCAGTGACAAGATCCTAGAATAACCCTTTTCGGGTTGCGAAGTTTGCTTCCCGTTCTTCATAATTACTATTACACTAACAGAGATGTAACCAAAGGCCTCACCTGTAGATTGAGTGAAACCAATAGTATAGATTCAGATCAAACAAACACTCAGCAAATCAACTAAACACTTTTCACTAATCAAAGCCTAGCTAAAGATTTAAAGGCTGGATTAGCTACAAGAGTGAATTCTCCTTTAGCCAATACTATGAACGAGATTTTAAGATTTAGAAGAAATGGATCGGTGAGATCTGAAATAGACACTTTCCAACACAGTGTAACTTTTATGGGTCCCTAAAACTAAAGGCATCCCTAAAAGCATCCCACTAGGTCAACAAAGTTGAAATTAGAAGACATCAGATGCAACTACTCATTTGTTTTAACGCTAAAAATAACACACTAACTTCTACAGTTAAGGATTCAACAACTCTGGATTTTATCATCATTTATCCAAAGATCGAAACTTTGCGGCAGAAAATTTTCAATTCGAGAAATTTCGGGGAAAAAGGGTTAATTCATCGAAAGATCAGATCTTTAAAAGAATTTCGGTGTGCCCATCAACAACAACAAGTCTCACTTAACAAAATTATTAGAGCTCACGAGTGCTAGAGAAATGGATCTGACGCAAACACATAAAAACAAAAACAGAGGAATATGAACAGAACTACAACTAGCTGAAGAAACTGCGAATTCGAGTTTACTTACATGCAGTGTCGATGCTTGTTTTTACTTGCGGAGGAGAATAAGAGTTGAAATTTCTGGGAGAAACTGGAGATTAAAGTTTTCAAGTAGAGATTAGGATAAGAAGAGAGAGTCCTGAAATGAAGGGAGAAGATTTCCGCAGATCTCTCATAACTCACTCTCAGCTCTCAAAGTCTGTGTTTTTCAGACAAGAAGTGAAAGCTAACAGAAAGATAGAGAAAGCTTTTTATAAATATCTCTTCTTCCTCGGTTGGTTCATTCGCTTTCCTTCGTCGTCGTCGTCTCTCTTTCTCTCTCTAGATTTTTTTTGGTCTAATTATTTAGTAAATTTTGTTTTTTTTCTTTTTTGCGTCAGAGGTAAAAGACTTTCCCTTTTTATAATTTATACAAATATATTTCATTTCTGGTTTTCACTTCTACATTTGGCTTTTGTATGCCTAAGAATAGGCTTCAGAAGAAGAAAAGAAAAATAAAATACTCGAATTGCATATGATAAATTTAGAAAATTTTAAAAAACTTCATTGCAAAATTTTAGATATATCTTTAAACTGCATTGTTAAGAAGAAGAATTCACATATTTCTTTGAAAAAAATTACTGGCAATAGTGGGCTAACTAATTTTAAGTCATCTTACGTTAAAATCTTAAGAGTACCCACACTTTTACTAGAACGGCATAGCTTTTTTTCCAACTACGAGATTTTTTTTTTTTAAATAATATTTGGCCAAGAAGCCAACGACGAGAGATGGGTAAAGCTAATGCACAATGCTTAATGTAAATAAATAGACTTTATATTTAAATTGACGTTACAAATATGAAACAGATCAATGGTGATAACGAATAGGTTATGGTCTTATGGAGTACAGTTAAATTATATGTTGGTGGTAAACTGGTAACCGTGGTAAATTATAGAGATGGGTAAAGATGCTGATAGAAGACAGTCCTAGAATTGTCACACACTTGGCTCGGTGGAGGTTGATAGATCCTTGGATCCAGTCCGGTTCGGTGAAAGAGATGCTAAGGCGTGAGCGGGAGCTCGAAAATCCTTAGGCCCAATTCCAAAGAAGAGGTTGGAAACGAGGGGATGGACAAAGCGATCAAGGGGGTTGCGATACCGGATGTTAGGGTGTGAGACAAGTCCCGAAATTCCCTAAGCCCCAAATACGACTACAACTCTTTCTCACACTTTGGAATCGAAGGCTGCGTCAAGCAGGATGAAACTACTTGATAAACCGAAGATCGATCAATGGCTAACCACCAAATTATCGACAAAGTTCATGAAGAACAAAAAAGAAAACTCAAAGAGAAATTTTATAAAAGATAAGTCATGTGGTTCTGAATACATCGATGCTTTTATATAGAGGCTAAAAGGAATACCATAGGTCATTACAGAAATTAAAGGACATTAAATGAAACTAAATGAGATTAGATGCGTTGAATAACGATTGGATTTCCGGATGACCCTTCGCGTCCTCTCGCTAGACCTTTGAGCTCCTTGACCGTTATACTTTGGTCGCGAATCGAACTATGGTCGTGAGATGGGCGTGCATTAACCTCGTTAAAACCCCATTCGGAAAACCCAGTGGGACAAAACCGAATGTAAGGAAAAAGAGTATTAACACAACACCCCAACTAGGTCAGTTCGGACCAGAATACATGAGCACGGTCATGACTTTGTGAACGGGTGTTAGATCGTCAGCTCGGCCTTGGGTTTTTAGCTCGGTAAGAACTTGTTGGATTGCTCCCGTGAGCTTCTTGGTACGCGACCTGGTCATCGGTCCAGTTGGCATAGCCATGACGTCGTTCTGGTCGGCTCCTCGGTCTTGTACCCCGTCCTGAACCTCGTCTTCGTTTAGCTCGGCCACTTGGTCTTGTGTTCCGGGCTAAACTTCGACTTGTTCCTCATCCTTAGCTCCTATCGGTTCCATGATTCTATCAGATGCTCTTTGGGATTTATGGACGAACTTAAAGCTGATATGCAGCAGAAATTAAAAAATCTTGGGACAATATGTATTGATAAACAAATCTCTCTCTGGATGCTGTTGTCCCAATGGCTACTGTAAAGTGGTTAAGGGGAAACGAAAGCAAAATTATCAAATTCTCTAATGGGGTTAGATATATAATTCTCGGTCTGGAATGACAATATCATAGATTTATACGTATGAAACCACCACTATCTAAAATACTTTTGATAAATTTGTAACAAAATCTCAAAGATGTCTACTTTTCCTACCTCGTCAACTTAACGTGAGATTTCTTTGAAGTAACCCATTTCTTCATCATTGATGCTTGGAACCTCTACAAGTGAAAGTGTGGGGCCTAATGTTATTTTTCTTACTTTTGTTCTATTTTCTTGACTTCTTTTCCATCTTACTTTTTTTTACTGTGCTCTAAAAATTTGAAGTCACTGAATTCCATTAAAATAAAGACAAGTGATGTTGATAGGTTTTGCTGCATAAACCACACTTTCTAAGAAACACCAAAACAAAATAGATATATCGTACGTTACATTTTATAATCAAATTCGAATTATGACACGAACACGATATGACTTTTTTTTTTTATCTAAGAGCATGAAGATATTATAGACAGTCTACTTTCGATATGGTTTGAAATTTAATAAATTTATGAAACAAACTATATATGTTATATTTTTATTTTGTAATACTGGGAAAAAGGTCTATATCTAACTCTAAAAGAAAATTAGAAAAAGACGTGTATCAGTGTATGCATGGGATTTGTATGATATACTATGATTCAACAACCCATTATTAATTTAATACTAACACGTAACCCAACCAAAAGTCTGCAAATCCTCGAGCGATACCGATACACATTTTTCATGAACGAAGCAATTTGTAGTCTTCAATCAGTGCAATAATTTTCTACTTTTCGAGGCTTTCAAAACAAAATAAATTTGACTTGTCTCAATCATTCAATAAAATAAAATCGAGCAAAATAGTTAATAATTTCAGATGAAGAATAAAAGCTCACCGACAGAAGAATGGATCTGCCTTTATTCTTTGCTTTGGAATTTAAAAACAATACTGTACTTCTGTGCTCTATCTCTTCTCTCTCTTTCTCTGTAGAAATGTATTTTGTGATCTCATATTGTACTCATAAATATTTGCAATAATAATCCCTTGGAAATAAATAATCATAAGTATTTCGTTTAGTGGAGGTGTCATGTGGTAGGTATCAAATTAATAACGTTGGAGACAATAAAATCTGTGTCAAATAGAAAAAGAAAGTTTGATGTGGACATATATACACTCAAACATCTACAACAACCTATGTTCATGCTTGACTAATAAATTCATAATGACAAATAATTGTGTTTTACATAAATGCGTCCTTATATTTCTAAGAATTAGATTCTAATTAAATTGTAAATACAATAAACATGGTATGTTAGTGGCAGAGACCACGTCCATATGAATCCCAAACCAACACAGCTGTATTTCTGGTTTGGTTTATCAAAGAGGATTTACAAGTTTAAAACTACATTAATCAAGTATTTTCATTGAGGGTAAACCGGGCCAAAAGTTTTGGTACGTAGATATCGATTCCCTCGGTTGAATAAACCGAGCTAGAATTTTGGTACGGTCGTTATTTAATAATTGTTGTATTGTAACATGACAATGTGCTAAAAAGTTTCAAAGTTCAAACATTCCCACGTGAGTGTGTTAGGACATTCACCATATTGACCTTTGTACATAAACTAGTAGTTACCGACCAAACTCTTTTAAGTTTGACAAAAAGGTGAGTCCATATAATATATATTTCTTCTTCTCTTTCGATTTCACCAGTATTGATTCCTCTGTAATCTAGATATATGTCTTTAAAGAGCTTACCATTGACTCACTGATGCATCAAAAAAAAAACGGGATTTGTGACTGTTTTGTTTTGAGCAGAGACAAAGAGACATGCAACCTTATGATAAGAAATCTCTGCAAAAACAATCAAAGTGATGTTTAAGACCAGTGATGATGTTTCTGTAAGAGTTTAATGAATAATGGAGCAAGAATTTAGATATGAAGAAAATGATAATATTCGTCAATAGATTTGTTTTTGTATACAAGAACGGAACCAGTTTTTGTATAATTTGTTATGTAATCCTCCATATCTTGATTTGCACAATCTGTGATAAGCAAATTAAGCAAGTTTTCAAATTGATTTATTGTCCAAAGGAGTAAATGACTTCAACAGCTCATATTACTTCTAACCATTTTACCTGGAATATAAGGTAGAAATGAAGAACACTCACTCCCTAATCAGGCATCGGTTTGTCGTATACCCAGCTGCCTTTGTTCATAAACCATTTTGGGAGATTATAACCTGAAAGTGCTCGTCGCAGCAAATCATCTGGTTTGACTCCGTTTCTTAATATATGTTCATACAACGATGCAGTTTCAGAAATTTTTCCAACCTTGCAACAACCACGAATAAGAATCGACATCAGGCAATAACTTTGTATCTATGGCTTGATGGAAGATATTTGTCGCTTCATCCACTCTTCCTCGTTTGCAAAGACCGTCGATTATGAGGCTATACATCCGAGAAGCTACCTCTATCTGATCAACCGAAAGACCTTTCAAGATCTTATTGCAAGAAGCTATATCGACATGAAAACCTCTCTCAATCACTACTCGATGAAAAGCTAAAGCCTTTGTGACCTCTCCTTTGCGGAAAAGAGCATCCACCACATATCCATGAGCACTTAAACCACAATCGGACGATTCCTCTATATAGTTTATCGAAATGATCAGCTATTAAGTCAATACGAGCAGTGTCAATCAAATAATTCAGTATCCTATACACAGAATCCTCCGTTACAACTACACCTGATTGCGTACTATACACAATTATATCCATAATCTCATCAAACATGCCGTATCTTAGTATCTACTACAACACTCCATCAAAAACCCACAAACAACACTGTGATTCAAAGGAAAGTCCAATGACCTATCCAGGATCACTCTCAAATTTCCACGATTGGCCATCATTTCATCAAACACCTTATCTGCAACATCAAACCTCCCATGGCGAACCAAAACATGAACAAGGGTAATGAACGAAGGAGCCAGTCTAGACATCTCTGCCCATCAGAAAATAATTAACCGCAAAATAAGGATCTGATTGAAGTGGAAGAATGACCAAGTTCGTCTCACTCCGTAGCATCTTTGGACCGTATTCAGAATCTAATAAGTTAAAGTTGTCTTTTTTGAATGCTTTAGAGACACCAGCGGCTAAGGCTTTGGCGTAATCAGACGAAAACCGACGAGATTTT